CTCCTTAGCAGAATCAAGAATCTATATGCTTTATAAGACTTCAGAAGATTTCTTCTGAAGAGATCGACTGAGCTCCTAAGCAGAATTAATAATCTCTGTGCTTTGTGAGATCGGAGAAGATATCTCCTAAAAATATGGACAGACCTGGCTAGATGGACTCAGCTGCTTAGCAGAATCAAGAATCTAGCAGCTTTACGTGGCTTAAGAAGATTTCTTCTGAAAATAATTATCTCAAAAACCGATAAAAGCACGCAAGCTTCCAGATAATGATCACAAAGTGATCACATATAAGATTTAAAATGTAGTCGAACAACTTGTTCTGAGCCGACAATTAACCATTTTCAAGGTAATCCAAGACGGGGCAATAAGCTGGCTAGAGCAACGCCCAAGTTAATTTGCATATTAAGTAGAGTTCCCGAGTTCCTTCGATCCTTGGATTACGCTGTGGCTGAAGGTAAGTACGAAGCCAATTTGCATGGCACGCAACCCGTTGATGGCCTCAATCAGGTGCTCCAGCGTGTGTGTGTGTGCGCGCGTGTGTGTGTGTGCCACATGCAGCACATGCTATGTGATTTCCGTTTCCGTTTTCGCTTCGTTTTTTGTTTTTGTTGCTTTCGCCTTCGCGCTGGACGCCACGTAATTGGCTGCAAAAATGCTGCCATAAATCAGGGCGATAATTATGTGGGCGACTGCGTTCCAGCAGTAGGTAAAAAGTGAGAAAAAAGAACACAGGGGGGCGGGCTCTCGATTTGATTGCCCCGATTTATATGGATACTGTTTTTTTTTTTTTTTCTTTTTGGCCATCATAAATTATGTTTGTGTGATGTGCGAAATAGTTGCAAGGTCAGGGACGATGTGCGCAACTTTTGCCAAATTTCCATTCAGCATTTGCCATTTTCCATTTTTTGTTTTCCATTTTCGATTTTCTATTTTTATTTGATGTCCTGTTCGAGCGGGCCTTGGTAGCTGGCATAGAATGTGGAGCAGCAGCAGCTTTGGCATTGACTGTCGCTATGATTAATTGCATGTTGTTGCGGCAGGCAGCAGCTCGTAAATTGTTGGGCGCCCAACGTGGGGATGCCACAGCGGGCAGGAATGAGAATTTGGGGCAAGCTGCCAGTGCGAAGCGAATGTTTTTGCCGCATTTGGCTCTTCTGCTCTATGCTAATGTTGCATTATTAATGCAGCTGCAACTAGGCAAGCCGCATGCCCCCAAAACGCTGGCCGGCAACATTTTGTCGCAGCAACATTTTGTGGCAAAAAGGCGCTCGAAACCAAGCTGAAAGCGGGCAAAATGACCAGCAAAACAGGAGACACTCGCAACCAACTGCCTGTCTGTGTATGTATGTGTGTGTGTGTGTGTAAGTGCGTAATGCTCTCCAAAGGGCAACTCCTGCGGCGACCATGGCTAAGGCTTTGGGTTACGGGTAAAAGCAATCACGATAATAAGCATAAATAAAAAGCCCAACAAAAAATTACACGAACACAAAAAAAAAGGGCAAAGGGCAAGGCAAAAGGCTAGACAAGGGGGCAGGGAGTGGGAGGCGGGGAGGGGGGGGGTCGGGTTGTCAGGGCGCGGAGGGAATGACTACATAGAAAATGGCACCGCAAGTTAACCCTCCGAAATGCTTCAGACGAATCAACAACAACAAAAACGGGCAAACAAGTCGCACGGCGCCAGGCGGCCTGGGTCGACTAGCAGATACCCTGTAGGTAGAGTCTATAAAGCAAGGCACTCGGGCATGTGCATGTGGAAGTAAAAGGTTTAGAATCGAACCGGTAAGAGACAGAAATTTGTACTTGTTTGCCAGTCGGAACATATTTTTCTTCATTTATATATTTATTTTGTGGATAAAAGTGTTTTGATTTTATTTATTTATTTTCCTTTTCTGATGTCGCTTTAGTCTTATGTTTAGTTCCGACTGAAAATTTTGAATTTTAGATTATAGTTTTAGTTTATAAGCCCAACTTTAATCATGTTTCCCCAATAACTCGAGTACTCCTCGGCTGATATCTGTGAAACTTTTGGTTTATCTAACAAAATATGCTTAAATAAACGTGTACCAATTATCTAGGCGTTCGCTCTCAGTGTTTTTCCGATCAGAGCTTAGTTAGAAGGTGGTCTCCAGTTGTGTCCGCAAATGTGATCTCTAAAACAGAAACATTTCTGAATAAGTATCAAACATCTGGAAGTCTCGCTGCAACGACCTGCGCATACCCTTTCTTTGGCTCATTTGCTGTTTACAGGGTATTAACGGCACGAGAATGAGAACACAAATAAGTTTTGTAGTGGCTTGCACAACCGCTGAACAACGTCGTAAAAACTTATTTAATTTGTGATTTATATGAATAAAATTTTCTAGTAAATTCCCTGAAATTATTCATTTCGCAGCCCCCAACAGCAACAACAGCAACAAGAGCAAAACAAACGAAAGAAAAATGGCATTGCTAACTGATGGCTGAGGGTTTTCCGCAGGGGGGCGTGGCAGGCAACGACCAGTCGAAAGGATAAGCCCCGCAACCAAAACAAGTCGCCAGTCTGGAGGAGGAGGCTGCCACTTGGACTGACCACGGATGGGAAGGGCTGCAGCGAGGGGAGCGTCGAATGCCAGGCAGATGACAGCAATGGCGACGATGACGCTGCTTGGCACTCCGCTCCCCCTCTCTTTCCCCCCTTAATATAATTCACCCTCTAGCCAGCAGTCAGCTAAAAAACAATCAAGATTGCTCTGGATTGCCTGACTAGCAGATACCCTAAGCACTGCGCTTAGCAGGGTATCAAGCTTCCTTTGCACACAAGCTATGTGCTTCTTCTTTTCAAGGCCCCAATCTATGGGAAATACACTCTTAACTAATAGCCTAATTCCACTATCAACATTTCTTACATTTTATGCGAATGTGAAGTATGTTGCCTGTAAGTTTTCTCATAAGAAATCACATAACCTTCATTTGCACTAAATTTAACAGTAACTCGTGCTTTTTGCGATGATTTTTCGAATTTCGTATCGATCAGCTGTTCATTTAAAGAAGCGATACTTTTTGCCATTAATATGTTACCGACAACTGACACTTGCTAATGGAATCGCAGAATGTGAAGTGTTGTAAATGTCACAAATGTTGAGCATAGTGAAATCCGGCTACAACTTCGGAGCTTATAGTCCGATCATTAGGAAATATGCAGCGCATATTGTTTCGATAAAGAACTCTTTTAGAATTTTGGTGAGAATCGGGGGAGCATACTTATATTAACTTTTATATTTCCAGCTCTGATCAGCTCCAAGATATGCTCAACAACAGTTGGTTCATATCGATTCTTATCGATTACATAGAAACGGAGTAAGTTATCGATATTTGAAATAAACTCTCCGTTTCTCCGTGATCTCTGAGTTCGCTGCGTTCATGCATGTTAAAAGACAGAGTGACAGATATGTCTAGATCGACTATGCTCTCTAGGAATATGATAATTTCGTTATACGTTTTGGACTCAGAGTTGGCCCCTTTTTCATTGAAACCAAAACCAGAATACCCTCCCCTGTCTGAATGGATTCAGGGTATATAAATAACTTTTGACTTGGCTAGCCAAGAGTTCACGTTTTTGATTTACTCCCAAAAACACACACACACACACACACACACACACACACACACACACACACACACACACACACACGCACACTCGCGGTCGCGCGCGACACACACAAAAGTCGCAACTTTGCGCATATAAATTGGGCAATTGGAATTTTGAAGTCCTGCCAGAATGAAAGGGCGACCGTTCCGCCGGCGTCTCGCCGACGCCCGACATTGGCGCCTGCCTCGTTCGGGCAGGCCAACAATTTTGGTAAGCATCGCCTTAATCGTTCAATTTGCGGGCCAGTTTATCTACGTATAACTGTTGTTAAATTGCCAGATATATATGTATATTTTTTTTCCTATGATGAATTGCATTTGAAATGATCAAATTGTTCCGAATGAGAGTTTTGTGGACAGCTTTGCCAGTGTTGATTAATACACAAAAAACTACTGCTCTATATTCTTTTATCTTTTTTCAATCATTTGAGAGGTCTTTTCTCACATTTAACTGAACTTAGTTAATGAAAATACATGTACTCAATAACTCTGCTCGATATATGTGTGTACATCCTGATGTATGGCTTGGTACATCAATTTGGCACTTTGCCACACTTTTTAGCCGTCTTCTCCTAACTCTAATAGCCTTCATAGTTTGTCTAAAAAAGAATTTATCTTACCTAACCCAAACTTGTGCTCATCATGATACAAAAATCTTTGCGATCTTTTCAGCATTTAAACATTTATAGAAGCTAAAGAATTTGATATAAACGCAATCGCAGCTAATCAAGTTAGTCAATAAGGGAAAATGTGCTATCAAATCAATCTACATCGCTTTTTTTATCAGTTTTAGTGACGCATTCTGTTAAAAATGTGTTGTTTAACATGCATGTCAAATATATACAATCATGTTAAATATGCGCTAATATCGACAAGGAAAAGGAATTTATTTTTTTGACAGTCACATAAATATCTTATAGTAATGTTTTAAATAATATTAATGAAAGCATTTATTTTCTAATATTAGCATTCATTCAGATTAAATAAGTATCAAATGCCTTAGGCAACTCTTAACATAATTAATTTTAAGCACTAATTTTAAGCACAGCTAGTTCTTCACAACTTTAACTAAGTTTAAGCTTGATAAAAATCACTTTAAATTCATTTTAAATTTCTTATTTCTAACCACTTTTAATAGCCAATTTAGAAAGAGCCAGTAAATAGACTTAAGTATTAAGATATATTTAACACACTCACTTCCCGATTTCTTATGCTACACTAAATAAATGAGTGCTGAGCAACTGGATACATAAGTGACTGTTACTTTTGGCCGCACTCTTAACACTTTACGCTACGCTCACGAGAGAGCACTTAATCTATCAATTCCGCTTTGTGCGACATCCTTAAACGACTTTTTCTTAAAGGCCACTTACCGCACGCGCATCGCAGCGCAGGCCAAAGCTGGCCAGGCACAAGCCCAACAACGGTAGCATCCACAGCCGGCTGAGGCGGAACACGTTGCGTCTTTGTAGCGGCTCGCGCGGCATCTTTAGCAGAGTTTTCTTTTTTTTTTTTGGTTGGTTTTTTGCGGTATTTCTGGGTTGCCTTTCAGAGTTTCAGTTTTACACTGCAAGAAAAAAAAACAAGACAAGCGAAACAAACACAAAAACAAAAACAAAAACAAAAACAAATTTGATAAACGGCCGTGCAATGCAAATTGCGCGAATTATAATGAATGAATTTCGGAATCGAATTCCGCTGCGTTTCTGCTGCTTTGCGTGTTTATTTTTTTGATTTTGCCAGTGTTGGTAAGCTTTACATTTAACTAGCTATTTTCTATTTTGCCGGCGCCAGTACGACTTGTTGTTTACTTTCGCAAAAACACACACACATGCAAACAACCAACCAAACTGGCGCCACGAACAAAAACAAAAAAAACCACACACAACACCAGCGAAGCACGAAGAAATCAAAAACACTGAAAGCAGCAGCAACAGACAACAGCAGGAAGAGCCACTATTTAAGGAAAACGAACCGAACGCGCACGCGGCACGAATTGTTCTGGCGTTTCGACAGCGTTGGGCGCTCCTTTTGAATAACAGCCACAGCGGCGACGGCGACGGCGACGGCCAAATGGGATGTGCGGCGAAAGCGCATGCTTTGCGGCGAATTGCCAGCACAGCGGCATTGACGAGCGCAAGCAGGCGAGCTGCCAGCGCCAGCGCTCTGGCGAGAGCGAGCTAGCACTAGCAAGACATGGACAAAAGGGCCTGACGTGCCATCAAGTTTATAAAATGTACGTGACTGTGGCTCGCTTCGCGCTTGAAGTGTGTGTTAAGCTTTGCTGCTGCTGCTTCTGCTGCCGCTGCTGCTGCTGGCAGTGCGACTCCTTGCCTGCTGCCTCGCTCCCTCGCGCTCTCCAACTACGCCCATGCATTTGGCACCATGGCAAATGTTCAAGGACACACTCGCACACAGTCAATGCTTTTATTGTGCAGCATTTCTTTATTTTTAGTTGATTTGTTTGAACAATTTCGGTAAGTTTTACTTTTTTTTCTTCTTATTTTTTGTATTTTTTGTTTTCTCTGACCTGACCTTGGGCCGCCCCATCCGCACTTGGGACTGTGTCCTCCTTAAGCATTGCTCCAATTACGCCAAATTTTCGTTGGACAATGGTCGCCACTTAAACTTCACGCGCTCCATTTCACTTCAACAAGCTTCAACTGTGCCATAAGCCGTCGGACCAATCCTAAGAGTATTCTCTACCCTCCCCCCCCCCCCTCCACCTTCCCACTTCCTGTTGTCTCTGTTGGTTTCCTTTTGCGGATTACATTTGTTATCGATTCCAGATATTGTTGGATGCATCTAGTATTTTCTTGAAAAACTGCTCTGTTTATCATCTGATTGCCATGAAATTTTCAGCATAAATAAAAGACATGGTTAAATAAACGAGTACCAATCGTTGAGGCCTTGACTTTTGAAACAAGTTAGATAATTGTATTAATCTTGGTCTTCAAATTACGCTCGAACAGGACTATTTGTGCTTATTAATTATACATATATGTTTATGGATTGTATAATGCTTCAGCCTAAAAGTTGACTCTAATTTACGAAAAATGTTTAATCTATTGATTGGCAATCATTTGAATCTAATATCGGGGCTTATGTACATCAACGTTTTTGATAAAAAACCATCTCTGGAATGATGTCCACCTTTTTGATGAAATTTTCTTTGGAATATCTCGGCCAAATAATGTAGGATTTGGGAATATTATACCATTTTTGACTCGTAAGGATCAGCACTATCGATTGGCATCAAAAGAATGAAAATCTAAATTTTGACACAAATCGTCGAAATGGCAAGGGGTTACATCACGTTTTATCCCAATTTCGGGTTCGGTTCGAAAATCAAAACTTTTTTGATGATTTTTATTGAATATCTCGGGTAAATGATATCGGATTTGAAAATGTTATACCTTTTTAAATTTGTACGGATCCCTACTATCAACTGGCATTCAAAATTTTGAAAAATCGTAAGGATCGGTAATATCGATTGGCATTAAATAAATAAAAATCTACTACCTACTTTCGATTGGCACTCATTCAAATCTAATATCGGGGGCCTACTTCAACGTTTTTGACAAAAAACCAGCTCAGGAATGATGTCCATCTATTAGATGATTTTTTTTGTAACTGTAATCGCGATTGTATTGTTTTCTGTGTTGCTATTTGAATCCTTTTTTTTCTCACATAGACCTAATTATTGGTGTGGCTGTTTAGTAGAGGCGGCGGCAAGTTCCCTCAAATATTTTTTTTTTAATTTGTTTTTCTTACCGTTAAAGCAAACGATCGCGAGCTGCATTTGGTGTTGGTACAAGAGGGTTCAGGGTATCCCCTAGTCGGGAACTCCCGACTAGAGCCTCTTACTTGTTTTGTAGACTAAGTTTTCTACATATTGCAAAGTTGACTTTGGATCATTTCGCAGTCAAAATAAGGTAAGGTATTTAAAAGGTAACAATTATATAATAGATTTATAATGCATATGTGTCTAATAAATTGCCATTTGATAAGTCTTAAAGTAAAAAAGCACGCGAAACGGTTCTCAATGGTTGGTATGGTATAGATAAGGGCTCAATATGGTATAAGTTAAGCATGTATGCGTACAGCTACAAGCGCAGCGCGAACGTCTCCAAGAACTCATGTGGAGCAGGTGGTCGAATGAGCTGCTGCCCCGCCGCATCCACGTAGTCGGTGTAGGGCATTCTGTTGACCGCCTCGTAGCCCAGGCGTTTCATCAGGCGGCCAGAGTAGATGCTCGTACAGTCGACGGTGAGCAGCGGATAGTTCAAATCTCGTCCCCGGCCAGCCAGGGCATTCATGAGACGTTCGCCCAGAGCGCGACCACGCAGATTAGCGTCCACGCCAATGGCGTGCAGATGCAGAGCCCTGTCCACGTTGAACCGGGCGAAGACGTTCGCATCTCGCTCCGCAATTGCCAGTATGCCCAAGATGCGACCCCATTTGCTGCCGGCCAGTTCGGCTGCCTCCTCGAAGAGATGGGCAGCCTCATCGGCGGTTTTCGGACCCGCCACAGCAGCGGCTACAATTCGGCCGCGGTGCAGCATTAGGAGGCAGGTGCCATGCGGCAAATTGGAGAGCAGGAATTTCTCATCGGCCTCATCGGGCTCCGGTGGCGGACAGCCGGCGGTTAGCGGCTCCTCCCGGTAATAATGCTCATGTAGAAACTCCATCAGTCTGTTGCCATCTTCCACGGCCGCAACACGGATCTCAATATCGTCATCATAACCGGCGGCACTCATCGAATACAATTTGTTGCGGTTATCACAGCTGATCGAGGTAGCGAATGCTTGTGGCTTGCAGCCAGTGTGACCGTATGTGTAAGACGCAATTATGCTTAGAATTTTAACAAAAATACTAACATCTATTTAATGATATTTATGGATTCATCCGATAACATTATCGATAGATTATTCTCTTCTCATTTGAACAATATCGTATCTACATCGGGCTCCTATACAACTTGAATCAGTCGAAAAATTAGTTTGAGTTTGTGTGAAAGTCTTTTTATGCTATAAAATCTTTTGATCAATCTCAACAATCACCAACTTTAATACTCTCCTATCCATAAAACCGTATTATAACCGACTTGACTAAATACAAGTACATTTTATGGCTCCGAGAGCAACGGAAAGTAAAGACTTATTTACTTTGCTTTTATGCATTACCTTATTATAGCTACACACATTTGAGAAATGTGTATTAAGTATACGGACATGACATTCCAGCTCGAAGCTGAGGCCCATCTTAAGCCTCTGCTATTCCATTGGATGCACTCATAGACCCCATCAAAGCCACCACAATACACCCACAAATAGAACGCGAATTTCGCAGCTAAAGCTGCTCCCAAGTTTTGTTAACGCAAATCAAGGAAATGGCGCAACCAACGACTTGCCCCATTTGGAGTTCGTCTAGCAGAGTTGAGACTTCGTGGCATGCCACAAGTGGCAACCCGCTGCAAAATAAAGGCTTGGTGAGCCCGAAATAGCTACTAGGCATACGCTCGACTAGCACCCGGGGAATACCACGTGGAGGCCCCAACTAATCCAGTTGGGACAGGCTGTGTCTACATGTCGAATTACGCTGAATTGCCATCCTGCGCCGTTCCGTTGATCCCCCTCCCAACTACTGCTATGATTTCTATAAACCTCTTGCCAATTAACCTGTCTCTTAGAGGTTATTAAATATTAAAGCCTTTTAAGATTCGACAATAAATATTTCTCACAGACAAAGGCAGGCTTATCGTTAAGCTATTCAATTAATACTCATTTTTTCCATTCCTATCTAGAATTAAAAGCATTTCATATTTTGTTTCATTTACTTCGATTAAATATTTCTCACAGACAGAGACAAGCTTATCGGAAAGGTTTTTTTTGGAGCAAATTAATTGGTAGTGAAGGTATTTTTGTAATATTTTTACTTTCAATTATTCAACGGATCATCCTTGATAAAGTTTTGCTTGGAACAAACTCATTTTATATTTAAAAATATTTCTCTTTTATTCATAAATATTTCTCACAGACAGAGACAAGCTTAACGTATGTATATATATTTATTTTATCAGATTAATCATATTTTGTTCTGTTCAGATATAATTTTGTAATAAGTTCTATAAGCCTAGACTCCCAGCTAGAATATGAGCACAGTTTTCAAAGCTAAATAATATATCTTATTTCTTAAGATTATTTCAAGCCTCTTTTCTTTAAATGGAAATTTTGCTTACACGAGAATCGGTTCTTTTTTGATAGGCTACTCGTATTACCAAAGCTAGAAATTTTGGCAAGAGCATTTTTTCATGTCGGAAAACGACATGAAATCTTAAAGTTTTTAAAGTAGTTCGACATTTTTATGCGCAAAGCGAGAAATTACCGCAATGTAAAGAAAACACGAATTGAATGCGATTATTCCATCCAAAATATTTGTATATCATATACATACATATGCTTGATACTCTTGTTTCGACATTTTCAATGTAAATCTTAGTTTGCGTTATCATAGGCATAAACAAGTAAGAGGTTCTAGTCGGGAGCTCCCGACTAGGGGATACCCTGAACCCTCTTCTTCCAACAGGCGATAGTTATAAAATGAAAGATACTTGATATATACATATATACTATTCTAGAAGCTACATCTCAAGTTTGGTGTTTTTAGCTCTGGCAACCCTGGCTATGAGGCACGTCATACGTCGGGCAAGTCTTCGTATTTTCGAACAAACCGCCTCGAATTTTCGAACGCCGTTCAAATTTGTAGCTGCACTCAGTCTGTTACGGCGTCTCGTCGACAGCAGACCAAATATTATTTTTATTTTGCCGTTTTTTTTCTGAATTTTTTTCGATTAGCTAACTTTTTTTTATTATTATTTTGTTGTTGTTAATATTCGTATATCTGTATGTTTGCATGTGTGTATGTAGAAATACATTTACTGCCAGAATCGGACATGGGTAAGGAAACCCATCATTTTTTTTGTTTGAAGATTTTGTTTGTTATGGATTTTACGAGATTTTTCTTTATTTTGTATGTCAATATTCCTATATCTGTATGTTTGCATGTATGTATGTAGCATGTACTACCAGAATGGGCCATGGATTTTTTCCCTTATTTTTCTGCATTTTCAAGATTTTTTGGAAATATTCCTTTGACTATATGGTTGGATGTGTGTATTTAGAAATTTATTTACTGCATGAATCGTGCATTGTTCTTTTTTTTAGTTGATAAGTTGATGGTACTGTCCTTAATGCCGACATTTCTGTAATCCTTTAATGCATTCATTATGGCATGGAACAGCATAACGTTTACTAATCATAGGCGCCTAGTCTAATCCTGCTTGAAGTGAATGCCAGTCGAATGGGCAAATGTATTGGATCCCACCTTGCATAAGCTTATGATCGGTATTTTAAACAATACCAATTTAAGGGGTTGTTGATGATGCTTTAGACGCATGAAGAGCAAGTAAGGACTAAGGGACTTGCTTAGCCAAATCCTTGGGACTTCTTAGATTATATCGGTCGTTTTTAGCGTGTCCGTTCCGCACGAAAACAGTTTTGAAAGCTCTCAGTTTCTACACTATTTCTCTGAAGTTTCTCAAAGTATTCGATGCACATATTAAAATATGTATGTGGGCATGACGAGGCAGGTGACTTAAGATTATTAGGGAAAACGTTTAATGTACATTTGTTTCATTATTATTTCTTCGCGACTGGAAATCTCTGCTTATCCAAGCGCCGAGAATCCGCTGGCTAAGCTATGCAGCGCCATGGACACGTCTGTTCAACGTTTACCTCTAGTAAAGCTCTGTTTATCTCGTATTGAACATGACTTCCACTTGGCTGCTTTAAATGAATGTCATTGGAGTAGGATTATGATAGCCTTTTACGTTTTTGCGATGTTCCTCTGAAGTTTTCCCCAGTATTCGATGTAGTTAAATATCCATGAGGCTCCACGGTGAATCTTTTCCGACAACTTTCAATATGGTTACCAAGCACATACTTCATGCATTTCCGGTGCAACATTGCTTTGATTGAATTTGTTATGAACTGCTGAACTGGTATCTGAACAAAAGTTTCCCCACATAAGTCCTGTTTTGAGTCTTCGCTAGCTGACAGAAATGCAAAGGGGTTGATGTCATGGACTCGTCTGTTTTACTCACCGATGAAAGGACAACTTAGATGGTATCCATATCGTTTTGGAATATTTTTCATTCCCTTTCTTTCAACGGGCCTTTTTCGTTGTGGGAAAATCTGTATTCTTTTTACAAACTGAAAATATGGACCACAACATTTCAGATGCACGCAGACGAGCGACAATCCTCGGATTGGCAATGAAGCCTTTGATTTGGAACGGGGCCAGGTCAACGTTCCAATCTCATGAACAGGTCTGTTTTACGCACCGATGAAAGGACATCTCGATGGTATTATAACGGTTAGTGAAAGGCCATTCGCAACTTTTACTTTCGCTTTCCATTTGGGACATCGGAGACCGATACCATCTACCAATCAGAACGCCTTAAAATATTTCTATCAAGCTACACTCCTTGTAATAAACCTACATAGCTATGTGTGTACATATATTGTAGACAACAGTTCTTTATATATTTTAATGAACTTTTAATTAAAGTATTTTATTAATAAATCAAATATTTTTAATTTATTTTATATATGTACAACTTAATCTCTTTACATAACAGTGTGTGGTCAAAAGAGGCTGGATCAAGGGGCTAGTTGTTAATTAGGTGAATCCAATCCGAAGTATGGGATGTTGACAATTCATACGAATTTGTATAATTTACAACACTTGAAATGCTTTAAAAGTTTACTGAGTTCTTCGCATATTTCTGCGATGTTTCCTAAAGTAATCGATGCTGTTGCCAACCACATACTTCACGCATTTCTGGTGCAACTGGCTTACGACCAGGTCGGCTTTCCCCTACACTATCTATTTCCTTTATTCAATTTGTTGCTCACAGAAGTTTTAAGGTTTTGATGCATGGCATCATGAGAGCAATAGCTGAACAGTAAAGGCCTATTGTTAAGCTAAACTAGAGCAAGGCATAGATTAATTGTGTTTATCAGCTGGCAAAAGATTAGATAGACAATTCTCTGGGTCCACAAAGCAGTAGACCCAAAAGCGTCACGGCAGCAGTATTCCTCCTAAATTCCGAGTGGACCCTGCTCCAGCTCCGTTTTCGGAATGTTCAGCTGGTTGTACACTCTTTATTTTTTTCGAAATAGTTTCCATCTATGCCATATGCCTCCCAACGTAACGGAAGTGTTTTGCATATGTATGAGAACCCTTTGCCTAATACAGGTATTAGATTCTATTTCGGGTATTTTATTCCAGAAGTATTCATAGTCCTGATCTTGCACCAAATACATACATACATATGTATGTATGTATGTATACAGAGGACTTTTCAAAGTGGATGAGTTATCTTTTCAATGTTGAGAGGAGGATTAATAAAAATCAAATAGTCCGTTTTTACTACACGAAAACTTACATCATAAATTTAATGTCTCTATGTTTCTCATATGTTTAAAATCGATAATTATCGATTTTGTGAAAACATAGTGTCCGAACAAGCTTGATCTACATTTGTTCCAAATATGGTGTCTCTAGATATTTCAGTTTCTGGGACTGATGTTGGGCACATGGTATAAAAATAATACGAACAGCTATGATTTTGTGTGGATATATGGATATAGTGACTCGATTCGGCCGATTCCGCCAATAGTCTTGCTTTGAGACGAATGGTAATATCGCTATATCGACCTAACTGTTAATACTGATAAACAATATATGTAGATATGTATGTATAATCTGTAGCGTATGTCTCCATTTCGTGATATGTAACTATTATACTCTCTGCAAGGGCAAGCTTCGGACGCCCTCCAATAGAAATATTTACCGTTGCCTTCACGACCGTCTGTCCATGCACACGCGATTAGTACACGCATACACACAAACAGATCTGACTGTAAATAAAATTTCAAATCTGGGCACTTTTTTCACGGAATGTTCGCAGCTATCAAAGGAATGCGAGCTCACACTCGCAACTCATACTCACGCATACACATGCGGACATGTGTGTCTAAGTGTGTGTGCATGCTCGTCTCTAAAAAAGTTTTCATGCGAACGAGCCAACGCGTTACCCTAAAAACAACAATATATGTATGTATGTACATATTATTACACTTTCAAATTGACGTAGCAAATGATTTATTTTTTTCACACAACTCATTTAAATAAAAAGAAATGCGACAAAAAATTGGCTAATTTCAATTTGAGCGCTTTGCATACACATTTTTCGACCATCTACTGGACATCAGCGAGATCAAACCAACGCAATGAATGCTTCGAAGCGGCAGCGAAACAAATAACGGAAAAGTCGTCGAACCAACTCTTTCGCACAAATCAGCAAGTTCTCAGAATGTGCTCGACCAAATGACGAATTCGAATTTCGAACGGCACTCATATTTCGCAGTTGCAGCTGCGGTCCGTCTGCTCGACATCTCGTTGAGTGTAGACCAAATACATATGTATGTACATACATACATATGTATGTACATACATATTTCGGTGCTGATTTGTTTGCTTACTTTTTTATTATTGAAAGCGAATTTTCATTTTGTGGGCAGTATTTTTGTATATCTTTGCTACTTATAATATGTTTATGCAAGGGGTCTTATTAATATATTCAGCGAAAGCAATTAAGTTTTGAACCTACTATTTTTCTTCTTCATAAATTTGTTTTATTTTTAATTTTACTGTTATTCAATGAACAACTTGAATTAAACTGTTATGAATAAATACAATACAACTTATTCCAACATAATAAAAGCCTACACTCCTTGTAATAAATGTTTTTAAGCTCTCACATTATTTCTCCGAAGTTTTTCAAAGTACTCGATGCAGGTTAGGTGCTCGATAAGCTTAAAACCATCTTTCGTAACATTCTAAAGTGGTTGCCAAATACATACTTCACGCATTTCCTGTGCAACATGATTTTGACTGGGTCTGATACAAAGGCTTTTTATCTGAACTAAATACACGATTTCTTCCACCTTATTTCAATTTTTCAAATCCCGACTTGCTGACACAAACTTTATCTGAGGCCCCACATAATGAAGAAAATAGATTTTTAATGGGCTAAAGTATTAAAATATTTTTTTTTTTATGTTTTGTTTATTGTATTGGATCAAAAATAGCATACATTTTTTATTAAACCACAGTTGGCTTAGGTGATGTTTCGCCAAGCCTGTTTGAGTCCTCAGGCTTTATCAATTTGAAGTAATTGTTAAATGGATTTTCGCAATATTTATTCTTGTTTCAGTGGCCTTTGAAATTAAAGATTCTAGTAAAAGAAACCATAAATCTTTGGAAATGTAAGGTTCTTAACCTTTTGGTATCTTCGATCATAGTCCAGAATAGATGGTCTTCTGTCACCCGAGATACCCAGGAACTTGAGGCATCAAGTTGTAATGGACGGCATGAACCATTTGGTTTGTAAACTTCAACGACTTCTCGGATTGTGATTCGACGCTCGTTCATAATCAGTTATTTGATGAAAACCTCTTTCTGTTTTCTAGTTCTATGTCTAGTTGGTATTATATACATATAGAATAAAACTTTTTTATAGATAGTTGATAATTTGGATGCTCAAGGAGAGGTGTTGTTTTCGTTAAGTACGGACTTAATGGCATTTCTTAACTAAGTCTTGGGGCTGCGAAAATTATTTTATTGATTAGAATGCGGAGTAGTCTTAGATGGGACTGTTTTTGGCGTGTTCGACCCTGGTTGAGGCACAGAAAATGTCTTGATAGCCTTTTAAGTTTTTTCAATGTTTCTCTGAAGTTTCCTCAAGTATTCGATGTAGTTAAATATCCATGAGACGGCAGGTGAATCTTTCCGGTCAACTTTCAATGTGGTTGTCAATCACATACTTCATGCATTTCCGGTGCAACATTGCTTTGATTGGGTCTGGTGCGAAGGCTTTCTATATGAACTTAAGCTTTCCCCACATAATGCCTGTTTTTAAACGTCGCTTGCAGTATTCGATGTGGGATTAATTACGAAAAAGTGACATAGACTCAAAATCTATGCTCAAACAAGCCTGACAGCTGATCGATAAGGCTGAGTCTTTCAGGCCGATTAGCCTACTGCCAATCGTCTCCAACGTCCAGTATGGTTGCCAAGCGAATACTTCATGCATTTCCGGTGCAACATTCCTTGGCTTCAACCAGGTACCACATTATTCCTCTTTTTTTAAATCCTGGCTTGCTGCGCTAGAGGAATAGTTTAGGCGGAAGGCCCTACAGTATAAAGTCCTCTTGTGAGGAACATGCCGCTCTCCATCTCTAATCAGAATTCCCTTATTGCCATCCTGCAATGCTCATAAAAGGACTACATTGACATGTTATCAACATGGACACGTCTGTTTTACGCACCGATAAAAGGACATCGAAGATCCGATAGATTGATTTGTTGTCTTCATCGAAATCTCGGATTGTGCTTTGATATTTTACTTTCTCTAGATGTAGGATGACATGTCCTTCTTGCAAACCTAAAATGAACACTGAAAATTTAAGAAAAATATTTTTTGTTTAAATTATCTGTTAAAATTATTTGCACAATTGGCATTTTGGAATAAACACCGAATGCAATATATAAAACTACTAAGACATTGCTGTATCCTCTATGTTTTCAGTTTTTGCTCGAGTTATTTGGGTTGCATTTCAAGGACTATCTAGGATATATGCATCATGCAGGATAAGGTTCAGAAAGCATTAACGAGCATTAATAATCCTTGATTACTACTAACTGGGGGAGTGGGGAGGACTAGAGGAGGCGTGTGATTGGAATTTGTGGCGTTGCCAGGATACGAGAGACAATTGCATTTCTTTTGGCTCAGCTCATCTTTCGCTTTGCGAGACAAATTCCACAATAATAAGTGAACCGTGTCGAATGTCCCACCTAATTAGGTGCACATGTGCCTTCGCATGGAACAAGGTGCGAGTTGGGAGTTGGGAGTTGGGTGTGGGTTGTTGTTTGTTGTTACTGTGGCAACAATGTGCGCAGCTCAAGCTCCAGCTCCAGCTGCTGTTATCTCGGCATGTCATTTGATATCTCGTCGGAATGCAATTCAATGGTTTAGATAAAATATTGCGAAACGGACAGCTTTGAATTTGCGTCGTCGAATCGAATAAACAATTTATGATATTTAATACATGCCATTGGCCATTGTCTGGGGATGACGTAAAAATGCACACATTTGAAATTAATTGAATATCTATTGGTTTGTTTATTAAATAACAAATGAATCTCCAACACAGATTAGGCTGAAACACGAGATGTCTGTCGAAGTGTGTAATTGCATAACAAAATAGACAAGATTAATAAATATCCTTTGCAAGAACGAATTTTTAAAGCGAGGAAAATGTATTTTCGTCTTAAATTGTTAACTATTCAAAAAATAAATATTTGTTTTACTCACATAATTTCATTATGTTGTTAAATCAGCTTTTTTACTGTGACAAACAATATTGCATATTACTGCAATTGGTTATAATAATATTTGTAGGCCAATCGACTCTATATAAATATTTTGACTAGTTATACACATACATACATATGTATACGTATGTGGTTTGCTTTTGTCACTTGTAAAATTATATACATACATACATATGTATAAATAATTGCTAGCCAGTGCACAATGACACGTCAAGGGCAACCTTAAATGTGCACGAACACTCTCACAAATATGTAGTATATGTACATACAATGTATTTTTGCAAGTTTTAAAACTCATTTCTCATCTTGACACTTTCCATCGACATGTCTAAAGAAAAAAGGACTCACAACTGCTGACACACACATACATATGTATACAAACCTGTCTAAGTGTGTGTGCATGCCTGTCCCGAAAATTCGTTCTTGGAAGCCAGGAGTACGGGTTCGCTGCCAATTGCCGCCTTGCGAAAATCATCGGCGTCTTCTAAAAGAGACGTAGAGTTGAGTTCGAGTGCGGAGGTCTTATCTTATCTACTCTTATCTCTCAGACCGTTTTATTTAACTTACCCATTTATGTTTATCTCTCTTTTGTTGGACTTACATATCTATAAATAAGTTGTATTGGTAATTATTTCATAACAGTTAAATAAAAAATTTGAAAAAACAAGTCGGATTAGCAAGTTCTTTTCAAATTGTACTTGACCCTTCATTCTAAAGAGAAGCAATGCGACAGAAAATTGCCAAATCCCCAGTCGAGTGTTTTGCGCACACACACATATGTACATGCATACATACGCAATTTTCGAAGATCTTACAGACATCGACGAGCGCACTCAGAGCGTAACCAGGAAACGCTCAAAGTGAGAGAGACACAAAAAGCGACACTCAGCGTCGATCTCGCTCTTTCGCACAAATAAAAAAACTCTCAAAATGGATGCGAGCGAATTCGAACTCGAAGTCCGAACGCTGCGAAGTTTCGCACTTGCAGCGGTCACTCTGTCTGTCTCGACTTCTCGTTGAGTACAGACCAACAAAGTTGCTGCTGACTTTTGTTAAATGATTTATTTTTTTTCTTTTTGACTGAATTTTTGTTTTATTTGCCTGCGTTCCTCATAATAGGCATATATTTTAGGCAGTAGGTCTGAATTAATTAAATTCTTTTTGAATTTGGGAATAAATATTTCTCACAGACAAAGACATGCTTATCGGGTGTAATTCCAAGAAATCAATTAAAATTTATAATCTTCAGGTTGGAGACTGACACTTTTGCTATGCAGATTTTATTTTGCGATATTTCTGTTTTATGTCTGTGTGTTAAACGTGGTTGTCAAACACATACTTCATGCGATTGACGTCTGGCACGTGGGTTAACTGAGAATTATTCCTTTACTGCAAGTTGAGGTATGGCTGGAGAAGTTTTAATGTGTCTTAATAAGGGTTAAGTGAACAATTAAGGTGGGAAGTCCCTCGTTATACAGTATGCTTACCAGGAACATGCCGCTCTCCAATCAAGGGTTTCTTCTTGCCGGAGGACCACATCAACATTTTATCCTTGTGGACATGTCTGTTTTACGTACCGATGAACGGACATCATAAATATTTTTAGATATACATAGATATTTAAATGTATTTTTGCGATTAATGAAAGCTCATTCGGATCGCAACTTTAACTTTCGCTTTCCATTTGGGGCATCGGAGTGGAATCTTATCTTACCAGGGAAACGCCGCTTTCCGGCTCTAATCTGGGTTCCTATTGCCGACAATTTTGTAATCCCCATCATTCATTTTCATCATAGACACGTCTACGCATCGATGAAAGGACATCAAGTATCCGGAAGAGTTCGCTTCATCGACTTCGTCTGGATGTATGACGACACGGCCTTCTTGGCAACATTTACCTCTGGTAAACCCTTGTTCTACTCATAGGCCCCTTGTCTAATGCTGCTTTGAGGCGAATGCCATTCGATTGGGCAACTGGATCGAGTCCCAACTCTTTCTTTACACACCTCGTATAAACGTGTGGCTGGTATTTAAAGATAAAACTAATTTATTGGGTAGTTGATGATGATGCTTTGGACGCTTGAAGCGTAAAGAAAGGGGATGTTTTCGTTAAGTACGAACTTAATGGCATTTCTTGATCAAGTCCTGGGGGCTGCGTAAAGTATTTCTTGAGTGGAAGGCGGACTAGGCGTACGTAGGACTGTCTCTGGTTCAGGCACAGAAAGTGTCTTGATAGCTTGATTTTTTAATTTTCGCAATATTCCTTTGAAGTTTCCTCAAGTATTCGATGTAGTTAAATATCCATGAGGCGGCAGGTGAATCATCTTCGGGCAACTTTCAATGTGGTTACCAAGCACATACTTCATGCATTTCCGGTGCAACATTGCTTTGATTGGATTTGGTATGAACTGCTGAACTGGTATCTGAACTAAAGTTTTCCCACATAATTCCATTTTTAAGTCCTCGCTTGTGCGCAGAAATTCAGAGGTGGTGATGTCTTTTAACATGAGGTCCTGGTTTGTTTTACGCACCAATGAAAGGACATCTTAGATGGTATCCATACTAATTTGATGGATAGTTGATGTTACTTTTGTTTTTTTAATTATTTTAATGTAAGGTCGCTGCTGCCATTTGTGTACCTTAAGTTACATGAGCTCGCCGGGTTTCTAATAATATTATATAGAAACTTGATTAGTTCATAAGACCAAGGTCGACATTCTGATTAGGAATATTATGGGGCGGGGCTTACAGAGAGTTGGCCTGGGCAAGGCTCGTAATACTCGCTGGTATTTGTATATGTTTGTAATAAAATAATATATACATATATATAAATTGCTTTGAAAGTTGCATTATGTTGTGCTAGACCCGGTTCGCAGCTACTCCTGGAGCAATTCCTAATAGGCGCAGCTGTCCAAAATGCTAAAAGCGAATTTCCGAATTGCTCAACGAAAGTTGCATTCGGATTTGCGATCTGGATTTCGTTTTGTTGTAGTTCGCATACTCTGTTCAAATTGTGAAAAGGGTATTTATGGTTAAAGGCACTTACAAATTGGGTATCTTTAGATCCTCCTCGAAAGAACCACAATTATTTAACTGCCACAATTTGTAGAGCTAGAGTAAAGATGGATCCATAACTTAAGCGCCGGTTGCTAGTCAAAGCTTGGACTGTGCAGGGGTATGGCGCAGTCGTGTATACCCGACTGCAGCATTCTTGCTGTTGTTTGCGCTGCTTCAAAGTTTTTGGCCAAATGCAGCGCAAAATTGTTTAAGTAAACTTTTAAGTTGCAAGTCCGCCGCCAGCTGGCGGCCAACAGCCAACGGCGGACAACCAGTCGTTGTCCGGTGTCTCGAGTCCTCTAGACCAATCCCCCCCTCCGTTCCTCGTAATTAAGTTGCGCAAAAGTTGGCTGCAAATTGTTGCAGCTGACAGTCATTTCTGCTGCTTGACCAACCCCTGGCCAACCCCTAACCAACCAAAGTCGCCCATCCTTCATTCAAAGTGCTCGTCATTTGCATAGGAAGGCGGCCCTAGGGGCGTGGCTGGGTGGCCACTGTCCAAATGCTGATTAAAATATAACCGGGCACTAATTAATCCTAATTGAGAATGGTTCGACCAGCGAGTCGTGTTGCAATATTGATTTGCTTAAGCGTCTGCAATCCCTCATCAGGAATCCTCCCTCCGATTATGCAGATACTATGCCTATTATTTTGAGAATGAGAACCATTTACAAGCTGTCACAAAATGTGACAACAATCCTTTGACGAAGTGCGTATTATTATATTCTGTAACAGGCAGAGGAAGGATATACATATGTATATATTCCTAATCGTTATATCTGAGTCTATCGAGCCAAGACCATCTGTACAGCATTTAGAGACTGGAATATTCTCATATATTAAAAAAACACGTCTGATCGATTTGGAGAGATAGTAAAAACTCGAAGACTATAAGAGCTGGTTACACCAAATTCGGAATGTAGCTTCTCGTATAGCATATACAGATTGAAAGCATTTTACTTTTTTGAGGCGCCACTCGATTTCCCCATTTTTAAGGTCAGAGTCCGGCTTTTGCCTACACATTTTGTTGCCATGTTTATAGCCTATACATTCGGACTATAAACACCGAAGCTATTCATGAAAACCCTTATCCCGATCAAAAATATGATGCTGCATGTTCTGCCCCTTACAGACATTTGCATAAAACCAATATATCATACGGCCTAGAAGTTATAGCTGAAATCGGGCTTATCTCTCAGAAAGCGTTGCAAATTGCAAACGAAAATTGAAATGTCCACTGCTAAAGGTAGAGAAAAACGAGCCATGTGTCAGATAATTGAGGTAACTGACAAATAGGCAAACTTGACAGAGAGAGAGGCAGATACTGATGCACAGCAGTGTTGCCAATTCAGCTATTTTCTAGCTAAAATAGTTGAGATTTGTAGATACCTGCAATGCTGGCTTTAAAACAGTCAAACGCCAGCCGACTGATTTGGCTACTCTTTTTTTTTTAGCTATTGTCGAAGAATATGTTGTTAATTTTTATGATATGGCAACTCCATGAGAAGTACTAGCAACCCTGCTCATCGCATAGCAATGGGAAAATTTAACCTTTTTTTTCATCGCAAGTTAAAAGTAAACATATTTTGTTGAAACAATCATTAGGTTTGCGGAAAGCAGAAACTTATCTGGCTTGGAAGCACAAGGAAAAATACATAAGACAAGTTTTGGATGCATTGCTTAAGCAAGCAGGTCAACCCTTGGATACCACTCAGAAGGTGGCAACTCTGCGATTTTGTGTCTCAATTGAATTTAGCCATTTCTTTTCGCATTCGATTTAGCTACTCTTTTGAAGCGACAGCTGGCAACACTGTTGCACACAGAATTACCAATTAGGCAGTGTCAAATTTGGGAGACAGTTGGAATGTGAAGGACCGTCCGCTCTGGGGCCAAGGCTATTTCTATTGCTATGGCTCTCTCTCTCTCTCTCTCTCTCTCTCTCTTTTTCTCTGCCTTTTCCTCTCCCTCCCTCTCTGCCGCTGTGACAGTTTGCGCTTGTGTTCATCTGCTGGCAAGTCGGGAACCTTCATACCAATTAGCTTATGGTTGGCCAGTGCATCCTTTTGATTTTCTGCCGCAAAAGAAAATTTTCGAATCACATCATCATTTGAGTTGAGCCTGGGCCTGGAAACAATAGAACACACACACACACAAAAAAGAAAAAAGAGAAAATACTTCCAGACTCAAAAGCAGTCGAAGACTGATACGGAATTCACTGGATATTCAAATTGTTGGTCAACTTTTTTGTGCTGGGAACAGGATGCTCTCGTATATCGATGCGCAGGACTTTGAAGATAGAGGCATGCGACACGCCTTTAACTTTACAAATACCAGACGGTAAGATCTTACGCACTCGAGCTCCATATATGGCATCCTTTCATCCTTTAATCCTTTCCAATCTTTGTGCCTCGGCAGCAATGCCCAGCTGCTGGCCAGCGGCTTTAAGCCGCCTTTGGCTGTGCGCACCGGCACCTCCATAGTGGGCATTGTTTACCAGAACGGCGTCATTTTGGGCGCCGATACGCGCGCCACCGAGGGACCCATTGTCTCGGACAAGAACTGCTCGAAGATACATCGCCTGCAGGACAACATCTTGTAAGTAGACAACGCACATCGGGCCAGGCTATCATTTTATTCCACTCTGTTTATGAATC